AAGAACTCCAGAGGAAATGGGGACACTTTGGCCTGACGCAAATCACGCCTTTGGGATCGAATTGCTTTCTTTGTTGGTTTGAGGATGAGGAAGCTAGGGACAATGTTCTTATTGGGGGACCATGGTATGTTTCTGGCCAAATAATTGGGGTGGAACAATGGACGCCTGGGCTCTCGCCTAAATCGGAGAGGAAGTTCACGTCTCCGGTTTGGATTCGGCTACCAAACCTCCCTCTGGAATACTGGGATGAGGCCAATCTTGCCCGGCTAGCCACTAGTATTGGAGAACCACTACTTATGGACAAACAAACGCAACTTTGGAATCGATGTGCCTTCGCCCGGATTTGTTTTCGTCTGGATTTATCGAAGAGAATGCCGAAGGGGGTATGGGCACAGGGTATGGGAGGTACGTTCTTCCAGCCGATCAAATATGAAGGAATATCGTTAATATGCTTGAACTGTGGTAAGGTTGGTCATAGGGGGGATGTGTGCAGGGAGGCGGTCAGGCAGCCACAACCGTAGGTGAGAAAGGAAGTTATGGGGCAGAAGTCTACTGAACCTACGGTTCATGGGGCCAATTTGGATATGTATAGGAGACGGGACGACAGTGGCTCAACGATTTCTGGGCCAAGCCAGGATGGTGAATGCTCCACGGCTATAGAAAATGATGCTGGGGAATGGACAATTGTCACGTGACGGCGGCGACCAAATCATGCCAATGGGGGGAATGTTCTGCAATCGAATAACAACAAAGGTTCTGCTCGGGGGAACTCAAATGACCGGAAAGCCGTTTGGAAAGAAGTGAACGATACGCAGGCGGAACAGGTGTCTAGGGGTACCAATGTGCCTACATCTATGGAGGGGATCACGGAGGGTGTTAAATTGAATGATGGCGGGAAATTGGAAGAGGCAAAAGCCATGGAAATTGCTCAGCATCAAGCTCTGCCTCCGGAAATTAGGAGTGTCCCTTTGAATAATGTTATGGTGCCTTCCCTACCGAAGGCTGAGGGGGAGCGGGATTTTCTGCTCCCTATTGGAAAACAAATTGGGGAGACTAATGATACCAGAATTGTCGAGCGATCAAGGGATGGAGGTCGACGAAATTTGCACTCGCGCATGGCCTGGTGGCTTCTCCTGCGTAGAGCCTTGCGCCTAAGGTGCTTCGATTCTCGGATTGTAAGTCCAAGGTGACTAAGGCGAGTAGTGAGCCCAAGAGGAAAGCTCAAGCTCGATTCAAGAAGGATATCAAATGTATTGAGCCTCTCCGGAAGGTTCCTGGGGTGAGGAGGGACTTGGCCAATGGTAGGGACCCGAATTTTGATGGTGCTGCCAATTTGGTCAATATATTGGACCGTTCTAGTGGTAAACCGATAGTTGGAGAGTCCAGGGGGCCTGTCTCTCTGGATCATGGTGCCCAGGTCTACTCGAGTGATATGTGCGGCAGGGACGCTTCCCCTTCGGTGAATTATGACTAGTTTCCTCTGTTGGAATTGTCCGGGGGCCCGTATGAAAGAGACGGGCAACTACCTAAGGCATCTCCTTGGGGAATTGAACATTGGTTTTGTTGGTCTGCTTGAGACCAAGCTCGAAACTTTCTCTAGGCTTGATGTGGATCGGCTGGCTGGCCAGAGTTTGGATTTCTGCTTTCAGCCCTTGATCGGGAGGGCTGGAGGGATTCTTGTTATGTGGAAGAGTTCGATGGGTTCTGATCATTGGTGTATGCCGACAAAGACAGTTTTGTTAGACGACAGGTTTGGGAGCTAATCTCGCTGCATCATACGGTGGGGGGGGGATTTCAATTGCATTATGGCTAAGGAGGAGAAGAAGGGTGTCAGGCCATTCCGTTTCTCTACGGCTGCTAGCGAGATGGGGGATTTCATGCTGGCCAATGACTTAATTGATCCAGGATTCTCTGGTCTAGCCTTTACAAGGACCAACAATAAGGATGCTAGGAGCAGGATTTATTCCCGGTTGGACAGGTTTCTGGTAAGCTCTAGTATTATGGATGCCTTTCAAGGGCTCGCAGTCAGACATCTCACCCGTCTGGCCTCTGATCATTGTCCTATCCTCTGCTCGTTGCGGGAGGGGGTAGGAAGGATGCCTTCACGGTGGCTGAAATTTGAGGACTACTGGGCCAGTTACCCAGCAGCGTGGAAGTTGGTGTTTAACAAATGGAAGGTCCCCGACCAGGGGTCTGAGGCAACCAAATTACAGAAAAAATGTCAACGCTCTCTACGAGCTTTGTTCTTTTGGAGTAAGAATAAATTCAAGGAGCTGAATCAGCTTAAGGAAATGCTGGACAAGGAAATCCGGGCGCTGCAGGAGGATGAGTGCTCGCCTGCGGGGCTGTCGAACACTCAGAATGAGGCGCTGAAGTATAAGTTCCAATTGCTAAACTCTACTCTTACTCGCATTATGACTTGGTGGGGCCAACGTGCGAAGGTAAGGTGGATTGAGGAGGGGGACGAAAACTCCCGTTTCTTTCATTCTATGGCCTTTGCGAGAAGGCGCTCCAACCGCATTGTTCAAATGAGGCTTCCGGATGGGCAATTGACCTCCGAGCATGTGAGAATTGAGGAGATGATATAGGAATTCTTTGAACAGAAGTGGAAAGGGAATAATATTGAGGAGCTGGGGTGGCCGAACCTGGACTTTCATGCCGCCATCTTAGCTCAGACTACTACACAGTTGGACAGGGAGGTAACTGGTGAGGAGATTCGGCAGGCGATTGGTTTGTTGGGGCAGAATCGGGTGCCTGGCAGGGACGGCATTACGGGCTCGTTCTTTAAATTTTTCTAGGACATCGTGGGGGAACAAGTCTCTCTGGCTTGCCTGGAATTTTTCTGGACAGGGATTATGGAACCGAGCTGGAAGGATACGGTGATCATCCTAATTCCTAAAACTACCAATCCGCAGCATCCATCTATGTTTAGACCGATTAGCCTCTGTCAAACTATCTACAAAATTATGGCTAAAATACTGGTTAACCGTATGAAAGGTATCCTGCCTAGACTCATTTCGGAGGAGCAAGCTGCTTTTGTTCCTGGTAGATCTATCTCGCACCATTGTTTGTTGGGCCAGGAGATAATTAATAAACTGAAAGTCTCTAAAGGGAGTACGGGGTGGTTTGCTATTAAGGCCGATATGGAGCTGGCCTATGATAAAATGAGCTGACGGACGCTCGAAATTATATTGGAGAAAATGGGATTCCCTCAACGTTTTTGTGGTTGGGTGTTTAGCTATGTTAGAGCTCCCCGCTTCTCTATTCTCGTTAATGGCCAGCTGACGGAGAGCATTGTGGCCGGTTGTGGCTTCCGGCAGGGGTGCCCGTTATCCCCGTACTTGTTCATTATATGCTCGGAACTTCTATCGTTGCATTTCCATCAGAATTTTCCCGAGCTGGGTGTTCCGATCCGGACGGGGTGACCTATGGTCTCCCACCTTCTTTACGCTGATGATGTTTTATGTTTTGCAGGTGCCACCATCCCTAACGTACGAAAAGTCTTGTCGATCCTTGGTGATCACTGTGGTTGGACGGGGCAGAAGATAAACAAGAACAAATCGGTTATTTTGTTTAGTAAAACCACTGCTTCCTCTACCAAGTCCCGTCTAGCTAGGCTTGCAGGCTGCCATATGGTGGAGGAAATGGAGTACTTTGGGATCAAGCTCGCGATGAGAAGACTGAGGAAAGTGGACTTTAGTCCGCTGCTGCAGAAGATCCGAAGTCATACCCTCTCTTGGGGTATTTGACATCTATCACTGGCCGGTAGGATCACCCTGATCAATTCCGTGTTACTCCCCCTGTCTGTTTATGCTGTGTCTCATACTCTGGTGCCTCGAGGGGTGCTGACTGAAATTGAGAAGATCTGTCGAAGTTTCCTTTGGGACCGGGACGCTGAACATAAGAGCTTACACTATGCGTCGTGGAGGAGCCTTGCTAGGCCCAGGCGAGTGGGTGGATTAGGCTTTCATGATAGCAGTAACTGGACTGGCCCGCTCAGGGCGAGAATTACCTGGGATTTTCTAAATAAGCCATAAAGTCTTCTTAGCAGGTGCATGGTACACAAATACGGGGGATGGCCTTGGGCGTAGGAGCATAAACGGGGACACTCGGCTGGTTGGAAGGTAATCTGTAGTGAGGTGGAGAGCCTGGAGGGTTGTGTGAGATGGAGGATATGCACGGGCTCGGATGTGGATGTGCTCAATCATGTGTGGATTTTGGATATAGCCTTATCTCGTTGGCCTACTTTTTGCAATGTTGAGATGCCTCAGGATTGCACTGTTGATGAATTCATTACGGGTGAACGGAACTGGAACAAACCAAAGCTTTTGATATTCTTTGGTGAGGCATTGGCTGATAGGATCTGTGATGTTAAAATTTGGACGGAGCTTGTGGTGGATACTCTCGAGTTGATCAAATGTCCCCTTGGCTCTTCCGTCTCGGCTATCTGCTACAACAATGCATTTCAGGAGGTGGAGGATCCCTGCTGCCCCATTCTGAAAATTGGTTTAAGACCCCGTGTAAGGATCTTTTGGTGGAGGGTGTCTAAGGATTTGATCCCTACCGGTGCATGGCTGGCTCGCCGTGGCCTCTCTTCGGACATGGCTTGCCCTTTGGGCTTTAATCAAGAGGAGAATAGGGATCATATTACTACGCGGTGCATGCGGCTTATGGAGGTCCTGGGCTGGCTGGCGAACTGGGGCTTCAACACTCCCAGGTTTTCTTCGTTTGCCGAGCTCCAACTTGCTTTAGGGGGGGCGCTGCGACGGCCAAGGACCGCTGGGCGGTTTTCTATTGCGGGGCTGTCTTCCAATGCTGGGGTACAAGGAACGTAATTAAGTTCGACAAGACATCTATCTCCCCTCGGATGATGGCTGCTAACATTATCGGCTCCATACAGCAGTGTTTCTTTTCGCATATCTTGGAGCAACGGTTCACCAACCAACAGAGCCCTGCAATGGGCACCCATACCCACACCCACCCACGTACCCACCCATACCCAATGGATATGGGTGGGTATGGGTATACTCATAGACTTATGGGTGGGTATGGTTGGGTACTCAATATGGTGGATAAACCCTCAGGGAGATCATCCAGCACATCTTCGAGGAGAAGTTCGTGTCCAGCCCGTCCATGTCGTTGCGATGATGCTCGACCCTGTCATGAAGATGCGTTTGCATGGGTTGAACATCAATGCTGATTAGGTTGACGAGGCCAAGGAGAAGTTGAAGGCATATATGATCAATTAAGTACGGCCATGGCCTTAACTCAGTCATCGATGAAGATGACGATGGCATAAGGCCACCGCCGGCCAAGAAGGCACGGATAGACACCACCGCCTCCTACTCAGTTTGCAATGACTTGCCTAAAGATGATGATGAGCCTGAGATGGCCACCAACATTTCCCCTAATAGCTTGCAAGTTAGAGCCGGCCTAGAGTTCACGGCCTACATGGCTCATAAGGTTAGCTTGTAAGAACAGAAGATGTGCGATGACGAGGACGGGGAGTTCGACATCCTAAAGTGGTGGGGACTGGTGGGCATCAAGACGTTCCCGATCATGGCACTAGTCATAAACTCTATTTTATGCGCCAGCGCCATGTCTGAGAATAACTTTTCAGACGCCGGCAACACACTGACTAAGAAGCGCAACAGTCGAAAGCCCGCTCACATGAATGATCTATTATTCTACCGATTGAACAATGACTTGCGTCGCTTGTTAAAATGTTAGTCCAATGCACCGCAAGCTTCATATAACATATTGTGCTGCACTCTAACAACTTGTCCCCTGCATCATTATATAAAACCATGTATTTTATATTACAGGCATTTGGGAAATATGAAAAATACTTTTATTCTGTTATTGTCTCTACATTTCAATTCTCTGTAGGATTTCTTTTACGTCTAAGGTTGAACAATGCATGGGTATGGGTGGGTACGTCATCCTGAAAAATATTATGAGTGGGGGGTGGGTGGGCGAAGCCAGTCCGCACAGAGCGTGGGTACCCAATGGGTACTCGACTAGGACCCTGTGTAGGGCTCTGCCAAGCAATCCTTTGGATTGTCTAGTCTCTACTCTTGGTGTCCCCCCCTACGGGTTGGCTGAAAATTAATGTGGACGGAGCTCTGCTCCGGTCTAATGCTGGTGGGATTGGAATTGTTATCCGGGATTGTCAATGCAGGGGAATTGTTGCGGCTGGTTGGAGTATAACGCATTGGGATAGCACTCAAGTTGAGATGATGGCTGTGAATTATATTGGAAAGCTTACCCAAGACTGGATGTATGAGGTTGAAGGAGTTGTCATGAGGGGGATAACGCCAGTGTTATGGACTATTTGCAGAAGACCAAGCAGCAGGAGGGGTGGCGGGTTCGGCCGGAGGATGGGGACACGTTCGATTGGATGATGCTATTCTGTAAGGTGGTTTTTGTCCATACTCATAGACAGTATAATAAGGCGGCTCATTTTTGTGCTCAAAGAGCAATTGAGGATAGTTTTGTTTGGGATATAGGAGATACTATCAACACATGTATTCCTCAAGTTTTTTTTGACATCCTTGAGGATGATAGGAATAGTTTTGGTCCCTCTTAGGGGCTTTTTGGAGTAGCTTTTTAGTTTTCTTGTTCTTTGTAATGGGTTGTTTATGAATGCAAATGCAATCTTCAGCTCTCCCTCTCTCTCTCTCTCTTCCCTTGCTCCTCGCTCTCCCTTTCCTTCCTCTCTCGCTCTCTCTCTCTCTTTCTATATATATCTCTCCCTTGCTCTATCGCTCTCTCTCTCTCCCTCTCTCTCTCTATCTCTATCCCTCTCTCTCTCCCTCTCTCCCCCGCTCCCTCTCTCTC